TTTCTTTCAGTATCAGAGTAATTTAATAGGGTCAAGGCCTGGTAATTTAAGCCATTATTCATTGAGGAAAAGTGGAAACTAAACAGAAATGTTACTGTAAGACTTATGGCTTTAGCTTCTTATAGTTTGACCGGCTTAAACCTAAGACTTTTGAATTGCAGTGGATTTGGGCACTTAAAAATAGATTTTTATTTTTAAATTCATAAGAGCATCTGAGGGTTGCAAGGAATCATAAAGCTGGTCTAGATCAGCTATCTGGTATTTTCAGATCGCTGCCGTAATACCCTGACTGCTGATGATAGGTGTCCCAAGGCAGGACGTTCCCTTTGAGGCAGCAGTGACTCAGAAAGATGTTCTAATATGTGGGAAATAGAGCCTCTGCTCATTCATTCTAGTTGTGCCATTTGTGCTGATGCAGAACTAGCATGATTTTTCTCTGTGACTGCCCTAAAAGTATTCTAAGGTAGCACTACTAACTCACTTCTCTAAAGATGAAGCCCTTTTTCATAGCAGTGTGATGGAACTGAAACTGTTAACTTGGAGAATAGATATCTCTGGATAGAGATGGGCTTACACACTTTTGATATTATCTAAAATAAAATCTAATAATTAAATTCAGCTGAAGAAATAATGTAATTTTCTCGTTATTGGTATAAATAATAGGCAGATGGGGATAGAGGTGCCATTTAATATGTAAAAAGCACCAAGCCCTGCCAGCAGTTAACAATTAAAATGGATCTGATTTGATGATTTCTTCATTAATTCTAAGCAGAATGTGAAATATAGTATAGTAGTGATACTGGGATGAATGCTAATAAAATTACTATATTAAAATGTTTTTGGTTGACAGTGGAAAAAAAACTTTTTTAATCTAATTCCTACCAAATGTAATGAAAGCCTGGGGTACTTTGTGGACTGCAGTTGAATGAGTAATAATGAAATCCACTAAATTTTCTTTTTGCCCATGCCGAATTATATGGGGTTAGCTAGAGTGCAATTTTTGGCATATGCTTTCTTTGTGATTGGTAATTATGGTTTTGATCTTTAACATTGAGATAATATACTTTTCAATGGAATTATTTTTCAGAAAAAAAGATAGTGGCTATGATTTTCATAGTTAATGCATTGAAAGGGTCTTGCCTTTCATATTAATCAGTTTTGTTATGTTATTAATATGCAAAGAATTTGATTTAAAATTCACTGCACATATTTAAGTGTTCAGTTTAATAAATTTTGAAGTTTTTATACCTGTGAAATTACCTCTACAGTCAAGATAATGAAAATATCTGGCACCTCCAAAAGGTTTTTTTTTTCCCAGCCATTTGTAGGTCTTTTTGTCCACCATCCTCTATTCCCAGGCAATCAACTGAATTGCTTTCTGTACCTAGAGATTCTGGAGTTTGGTGTATATGGATTCTACAGAATATACTCTTGGTGTGGCTTCTTAGCATAATTATTTTGAGATACATCCATGTTAAATAGTGTATGATAGTTCATTATTTTTCTTGAAAGTAGTAAAATTGAATGGCTTTACCATACTTAGTTTATCGATCCACCTCTTGATGGATAATTGGGTTGTTTCCACTTTTGGGTATTAAAAATAAAGGTGCTAAAAACAGTCTTTTGTGAACATAGACTTTCATTTCTGTTAGGCAAGACCTAGGAATAGCTGGCTTGTATGTTAAGTGTGTGTTTAATTTTTTAAGAAACTGACAAACTGTATTCTAAAGTGGTTTTACCATTTCACATTCTCATCAACAGCATATGATCGTTCCACTTGCTCCATATCCTTGCCAATGTTTGTATTTTCATAACGAATGATAATGTTAAGGTGTATTTTCACGTCCTTAGCTATGTGTACATCATTGGTGAGTATGTTAAGATCATTTGTTCCTTTTTATTTTTTAATTTTAAAAATTTTTTTAAAGATTTTATTTATTTATTTGACAGAGACACAGCGAGAGAGGGAACACAAGCAGGGGCAGTGGGAGAGGGAGAAGCAGGCTTCCCGCAGAGTATGGAGCCCGATGTGGGGCTCGATCCTGGTATCCCGGGATCATGACCTGAGCCGAAGGCAGACACTTAACGACTGAGCCACCCAGGCACCCCCATTTGTTCTTTTTTAAAATTGGGTTTTCTTGGGCGCCTGGGTGGCTCAGTTGGTTGGGCGACTGCCTTCGGCTCAGGTCATGATCCTGGAGTCCTGGGATCGAGTCCCACATCGGGCTCCCTGCTCACCAGGGAGTCTGCTTCTCCCTCTGACCCTCCCCCCCCATGCTCTCTCTCATGCTCTCTCTCACATAAATAAAATCTTTAAAAATAAAATAGGGGCGCCTGGGTGGCTCAGTTGGTTAAGCGACTGCCTTCGGCTCAGGTCATGATCCTGGAGTCCGGGATCTAGTCCCGCATCGGGCTCCCTGCTCAGCGGGAGATCTGCTTCTTCCTCTGACCCTCTTCCCTCTCATGCTCTCTGTTTCTCATTCTCTCTCTCAAATAAATAAAATCTTAAAAAATAAAATAAAATAAAATTGGGTTTTCTTAATGAGTTTTGAGCATCCTTTCTTGTATTCTTTCTGAATATAAGTCCATTTTCAGATCATGAGATTTGCATCTATTTTTTTTTTCAGCATGTGAGTTGTCTTTCGTTTTGTTAAGTGTCTTGCAGATAGCAGAAATTAGTAATTTGGATGAAGTCCTGTTTGTCACTTTTGTCTTTTACATGTCATACTTTTGTGTTTTATCTAAGAAATTTTTGTCTAAGACCGCAAAAAATTTCTACTATGTTTTCTTTGTGGAATTTTATAGTTTTAGGTTTTACCTTTAGGGCTGTGATTGATTTTGAGTTAATTTTTATATGTGGCACCAGGTATGGACATCCAGTCATTCCAGCTCCATTTGTTGAAAAGGCTCTCCCTTTCCCCACTGAACTGCTTTTGTAGCAAGGTTTATTTCTGGACTCTCAATTTTGTTTTATTGATCTGTCTCTTTTCAGTACCACACTGTCTTGATATTTGCAGTTTTATAACAAATCTTGAAGTCAGGTAGTATAAGACTTCCAATATTAATTATTTTTGAAGTTGTTTTGGCCGTTCTAGCTCATTTGCATTTCCATGTGAATTTTGGAATCAGCTTCTCAATTTTTACAAAAGCTGCTGGGATTTTGATTAGAAATGCGTGGAATCTTTTGCTCAAATTGGAGAGAATTTACATGTTAAGATCATTGAATTTTGAACATAGTAGTGTATCTCTCCATGTATTTGTCATTGTTACACATCATTTGATAATTTGTAATTCATATTTTCCATTGGTAATATTTCCAAAAGTGGATTTTTTGATTGTTCCTTGAACAGTTCTATAGAAACAGTTGATTTTTTAATTCTAGCCATCTCAATTTTGTTTTCAGATGAAGCATAGCATCTTAGTTCATTGTTAGTTTAGATTGGAAGAAACATCTAAGCTTACAAAATGTAATGGGTCAGTATCTTTCAAGGAGTGATTGGTATTATCCCCAGCATTTTGTCTTCATTTTTTAAAAAACAAGATTATTTATTTGAGAGAGCAAGCCAGTGGAAGGGCAGAAGGAAAGAACCTGAAGCAGACTCCCTGCTGAGCACAAAGCCCCACGCGGGGCTTGATTTCATGGCTCTGAGATCATGACCTGAGCCAAAATCAAGTCAGACACTTAATTGAGCCACCCAGGCACCCCATTTTCTTTAAAGTAATCTCTACACCCAGTGTGGGGCTTGAACCTACAACCCCGAGATCAAGAGTCGCATGCTCTACCTACTGAGCCATTCAGGCACCCTGTCTTCATTTTTTTAATGAAATATTAATATTCCTCATAATATGGAACCTTGAAACTTCAAACTACTATTACTTAAATGGTTGAATTTGTAGGTAATTTCAGGAAAGTAATTGATTCTGATGGAGGCATTGTTTATTCTTATGGGATTCTGAGATTTCATTCAAATTACATATTTTAGAGAATCAATTACCTTGGTATTGGTTTTGGGAGAATGAAGGAAAGTATATGATAAGGACTTTGAGGTTTGAGGCTTATGCACATGAATCACATTGCAACTTACAGAGTTGGAGAAGACTGAGGAAGCAATGAATTTGGGATTTTCATTTCAGCTTGGACATGGTAGATTTTAGGCCTGTTGTTTGTTGACTGTGTCAAGTGCTTATATGTTTATTTGGAGGCTTATAAATGAAGAAATATATCTTAGGTCAAAAATAGGTCTGAGGTCACACAGCTAGTTATTGCAGAATTAGAACTCAAACCGAGGGCCTGCTGACTCCAAAATCAAGGTAGTCATTAGCCCCATACTATATTGTATTGTCAAGGCAGAAAAACATGCTTGGCTTTGATAGTAATTAATGTTCCCTGTGAGCTATTATAAAAATATAGCAGAGTTTGCAAAGTCAGATGCCAGCAGGATCCAGACAGATAACTGAGTTGTGTTATGAGAGAGTGATGACATCTGCAGGCAACTGCAAAGCCTGTGACCCATCCAAAGGATTAGCTGCTAATCAGCTCCAACAGATTGTTACCATGTGGGAATGTGGGCCCATTATCGCTAGATCTTCTAATTTTTTTTTTCCCCAAGAGAGGTCAGAAATCTTGATTTCCATGTTGAGTCTTCTTCTGATTTATATATGTAGGCAGCTGTCCTTTAACATGCAGTGTAGGTCAACCTTATTTGTGTCCACCACACATAAATGTGTGTTGGATTCTACCCAGTGGGCAACTTCTGCTAAGAGTTGTATCTGGTATTCTGTGGACACAACAATAAATTTATATGATGTGAAAGGGTGGTAACCATGTAATAAGCACACTACAGCCTTTGCAATGCAAGTTGCTTAGTTTGAACATGGAGTTTATTGAATCTGGTATTTAAGTTCAGTTTTCTTATGGATCAGTTAATATAGATGGGGGAGGAGGGAATTGTTCCCTGTAGCTTTTTGCTTCCTAATTGCATGCTTTCATTTGCACATAGGGCCAGTTGCAAGTCTGTGGATGTTTGACTGACACCTGGAACCCAAATGAGAGGAAACCTTCAAGGAACAACTTTTATTGACAGTGAGTCTGTAGTCATCTGTATGCATAATATGGAATGTTCTCAACCCAGAGATAGCTAAATGGGTGACTCCATTGACAAGGAGTGGTGAGTCTGACTGTCCCCACTGATAATTAACTAAATCCTTTTCATAAAAAGAGAACTCCTCCTCCTCCATTCTTAGCATTTACTCTCTGTTGAATAGTAAATTAATTTTTGTATTACAGAGAATGACAGCAGTGCAGCTTAGGAAAGTTCCTTGTCCCTAACAGTGTGTTTAGTGTATGGTTGCAGTTTGACTTTTTTTATTCAGTTAGGCACATCCTTTCCTTTGTCATTGTATTTTTCTCTTTTATTTCTTTACCTAATTATACCATCTTCCAAGGCCTGTCTTCTTGAAATATTCAGCTAACATTAAAATGATGGTCATGATAATTAACAGCATCCACTCTAATCTTTTTTTTTTTTTAAAGACTTTATTTATTTATTTGAGAGAGAGAGAGAGAGCACATGAGGGGGGGAGGGTCAAGGGAGAAGCAGACACCCTACTGAGCAGGGAGCCCAATGCGGGACTCGATCCAGGGACTCCAGGATCATGACCTGAGCTGAAGGCAGTCGCTTAACCAACTGAGCCACCCAGGCGCCCAGCATCCACTCTAATCTTGATTAATGGTAGGTGTCCTTGCCTTGGGAATCATTTTATGAATAGATCCAGTTTTGGCCACTGAGTAATAGAAGGGAAGTCTGTAAGAGGATTCTGGGAAAGGTTTTCTTGGTTTTGTGAAAGAAGGAAAAAGTTGATCCCTCTACCTCCTAGAGTTGGTTTTATCTGGATGTGATATCTGGAACTGCTGTGGCCATTTTGCTACTAGCCTGAAAGTGATGCCCCTATGTAAAGGAAGGCAGACGCAAGAGAACGGCAGAGAAGTAGAACTGGGGCTCCATGTAATGTACATAGAATCACCCTAACTGTGGATTCCTTGTGATGTGAGATAACAAATTTCCTTAATGTTAAGCAGTTTTCCCTTAGGTTTTCTGTTACTGGCTGTAGAAATCCTCTCATTTGATTTCTCCTCATTCTGATTACCCACTGTCTTTAGTGTCTCATTCATTTATTTCTCCTTGATTATGTTCTGTGCTGTCCAGTAATGCTCCTTTGTATATGTTGCTTTTGAGGCACATTGTAAACTTTGTGAAGTTTTTTTTTGTTTGTTTGTTTGTTTTTAGATTTTATTTATTTATTTGACAGAGACGCAGCGAGAGAGGGGACATGAGTGGGGGTAGTGGGAGAGAGAGAAGCAGGCTTCCCGTGGAGCAGGGAGCCTGATGCGGGGCTTGATCCCCGGACCCTGGGATCACGACCTGAGCCGAAGGCAGACGCTTAACAACTGAGCCACCCAGGCTCCCCAAAACTTTGTGAAGTTAAGGGCTGTGTTTATATCCTCCTCTGTGTAATACCATTACTGTCTTCTTAATAAAGCCATTAGTGCATATTTACTGAATTGAATTGTTTGAACAGTTGAGTATTTGAAAAACCAATCTACAGAATTGAACAATTAGAGATTTTCTTCTTTTCTTTCTTTCTTTTTCTTTTCTTTTCTTTTCTTTTTTTTCTTTCTCTCTCACTCTTTCTTTCCTGTTTTATTTATTTCAGAGAAGGGGGAAGGGCAGAGAGGGAGAGAGGAAATCTTAAGTAGACTCCCAGCTCATGAAGTGAGCCAAAACCAACTGACTGAGCCACCCAGGTGCCCCTACAGAGATTTTCTTTTAATTCAAATCCTTTTCTTTAACCACACTGCTTCCCTGCAGGATTATAAATGAAGTTTGGCTTTTAAGATGATTATTGTATAACACATATTCAGGTGGTTAGTTCTACTCTAAAAAAATGGTGCTTATATTCTGTCTTTTGTTTTTCTTCGACTTTACTGTTAATGTCAGTTCTTTTCCTATATATTTGAGTACTGGCTTTCAGTGTAATAAATTTCACTATCTTCTCTGGCATAAAAACAGGATAGTTTATGTTCTGTTTTCTCTGCTCATTATAGGAATAAGGGACATAAAAAGTAAGAAACATAGTAATTCAGAAATAATTAGTATTTGACTTTGAAATGCACATTCACAAAAAGGCTCCCTAAGGTGTACATCTTTGATCTGCTCTTAGGACCTAGTTGTGTGTCTGTGTGTGGGGGGTAGATTTCATGGTGAATCTAGTAGCTTATAAGAGGAGTCTTGAGTTACAGGATGGATTATTTAGTTACTTCTATTTTAAGGCTCTATGAAACAAAAACATTTTTTTTCCTAACTCAAGCTAATCATGTACTCTTCACTATTTAAATTCTACTGTTGTAATCTTGAAAAAGTCGGATATATACCTCTTTTGCTTTGAGAAAATATAGGGTGTTGGTTTCTGTTGTGTTAAAAAGGAAAATCATAAAGCCTGTGGGTAATTTTGTAATACATTTGAATCCTTGAATATGTGATTTTCATTCAGGGAAAGTTAATTTTTTTTCCTTGGGTTGTTATTAAAGTTTGGGGGAATAACTTTTCAAGAAGGTAGTGAAAGTTATATGATATGCTTAACATATCGATTTTAATTCAGTAATACCATTCAGTAATATTAGAAGTTGAAATCACCAAGGTCAACTTTAATGTACTTTATTTCATAAATACTACGAAGAGTTTGTCAGAATGGAACATGTGCCCTAACCCAAGGCAGTCACAGCAGGCATGTGATCTCACCTAGATGAATCAGAATGATCTTAGGATATTTGCTAGGAATGCTGGGATAAAGGCACTTATTTTTTTTTGGCTGAATTTCAACAGAAATCAAAATGTACTCATTAAAGTCCTGGAAGCTACCTTCTGACCATAAAAGGAAACCAGTTGAATAAGAAGCAAACACTGAAGGAGTAGAACAGAGAAAAACCATGCCCTGACCACTAGGTCCATTCTTCCCTGAAGATAGTATACCTCTAGACTTTATTTAGTTTACATGAGCCATTAAATGAAGGGGGGGGGAACCGGAGGGGGGAGATGAACCATGAGAGACGATGAACTCTGAGGGACAGACTCTGAGGGTCCTAGAGGGGAGGGGGGTGGGGGGATGGGTTAGCCTGGTGATGGGTATTAAAGAGGGCACGTTCTGCGTGGAGCACTGAGTGTTATGCACAAACAATGAATCATGGAACACTACATCAAAAACTAATGATGTAATATATGGTGATTAACATAACAATAAAAAATTTAAAGGAAAAACTTCAGTTTAATCCAGTTGGCTTTGGATTTCATGTTTCATGTATATGAAACCATCTTAACTGATACATCTTTTATTCTAAACTATATAATGATAACTCAAAGGACTTAATAAAACTTGAACTGTGAATTAGGCAAGTAAGTCTCTGATAATGCAGTCCATTATCAGGTTTGTAAGGCAGCAGAAAAGGCCATTCATTGATTGATTACAAGGATTCAAGTATTAAGTAGAAGAGTTAAGGTGATAAATACATAGTCCATGCCATTGCTAAGTAGTTTATTGTTAACTGGAATAAGCTGACATGATGTGAATAATCCTACTAGTATATAGTAGGATTATTAACTGAGATTAAAAATCTCTTACTAAACAAGGTTAGGGTTGTAGAGGAAAAGGAGTATCCATCATTTCTTGTGATTAGCTCTTTGGTGGAGACGCCTACTGAACCTCTGCTACCTCTGAAGCTGGTAAAACAATTGTGGGGAACCCGGAATTGGCAATCTTTAAAAAAATATATATATATATAAATTATTATTCATTTTTTCCTAATAAAGCATTAGAAAAATGTGCAGTCCTCAATCCCATATTCAGATTTGTTTGTTTGTTTGCCTTATTCAGAATCTTGAGGCCAGATATACTGGGGTTTCAGAATTCTTCAGATTTTAGAAAGGTTAATATAATGCACACACTGTATTAATATCTCTTTTTTACTTAAGGGACAAAGTGGTTTCTGTTATTAATAATACAAATAATAATGCCTTACATGAGTTGAACTGCTAAATGACATACTCTGTATACTTTTCAACATTATCTTAACTGTTTAACAGTTTTTTTTAGTAATAGCAATAAAACGTGAGGGATGTTCATTTCATTTCTTTTTCTGTCCAAACTGTCAGAACATAACTTTATTCACATTTAAAAAATCTCCTCTCCTTTGATTTTACCTACACATCCCCCATCTCATTTCATCCATTTCTTAAACTTCTTTATAAGCATTGCCCACACCTTTACCAGACTACAGAATCTAGAAGTAATTACATCTGATACCTAAGTAGAGCTTAGAAAGTCAAAGTCTTTTCTCCCAAAGGTTTCCTCATTTCACTGCTAATTCTTCAAAAAAGAAAAAAAAGTGCTCTTTACTCATACATTTTATACTTGGACATTTCAGCAAATCAGCAAGGCAGGCTTTTCTTCTCATTCAAAAAAAGATTAGATAGAGTAGTTCTGCTGAGCATTTTGATGCTACAACCCATAAGTCTGGGAACCCTGGGTACTCTTCTGCTCTATAAGAACGTTGTTTCGTGGAATAAGTCTATATAATTTGTGGTTGATTTCAGTCCATACTGTGTTGAATAATTAGTAGTAGCTGGGAAGTGAACTCTTTCATGAAAATAAGGATCTTTATAGCTATGAGGAGACAGCAGACACATCTGTGTATGGCAGAGTTCTTACTGTTGGAATCATTTTGACTACAATACGGTTGTTGATGTGGGAGCTGTTTTGTTTTCTTGCTGGTGAGGAATAGGAACTGATATAAGTTGGTGAAGATTTGCTGGAGCCAGAGTATAAGCCTTTGTTTGGTTTTCTTTTGGCTACTGTAATACTGCATAGGTGGCTGGGTCCTGTTGTATTGAGTGAGGGTTTCTGATTCGTAACCGTGCTGGTGAGGAGGAGATGCTGCTGACAAATGATGGGTGACATCTGTTCGTCAGTGGTAGACAAAGAAGGATGCAATTTGAATTGGTCTCACTCGAATGTAAAATAAAGGTATAACAAAATAGTTTTGATTGCACCCATCCTTTTTAGAAATGGTTTGGAGAGCCTCATATTGCCATATTGTATTCAAGACCTGGGCTGC